GCCGCCGGAGCCCACGCGGGACGGGCGGGCGCGGGGGGAGCCGGCCGCACATCCCTGCGTGGGATGGTCACGCTGCGGGGGCAGCCGAGCGGCCTCGGGACACCCCCGCAGTGCAGCCGCTGCAGTCACGCGTGGGGGCGGCACCGCCCCCCCCCCCAGCGCTACAGTCACACCTCGGGGTGCAGCCGCACACCCCGCACACACCTACAGCAACAGTCAGAGCAACACCCTGACGCAGCGAGGCAGCCTCGCACACACGCACACCCCTCTACAACATGGCGTTCTCTCCCCCCGGCACTGGCACCGCTGGACCGGGCCGGGCGGTGGGAACGGGGACACGCGGGGGACGCTGCCCTCGGCCCGCGGGAACAGGCCCGGCCGGGCGGGCCGGCAAGACGGGGCACGAGGAGCCGCCGCGGGGCCGGGGCAGCTCCCAGAGCTCGCAGCCCGGGACGGGCCCCGCTCCGGGCGCGGGGGGCACAAGGATGCGGCTGCCGGCGGGGCGGGATGTCGGGGGATGGATGTGGGCAGGAATGAGGTGGGAACGTGGGTAGGATGTAGGAGGGTGCGGGGGGGATGCGGGGGGAGATGCGGGGAGGGAGGCAGCAGGGATGTGGGCAGGATGAGCAGAGGTGCAGGCAGGGATGCTGTGGGGATCCGGGAGGATGCAGGGGGGGATGCAGGAGGGGATTTGGGGGGACGCAGGGCGGGCTGGGCCCTGTTCCCTGCTTTGTTCCCGCGCCGCCGCGGCGCAGCCGTTGCTTGGCAACCCCATCTCAGAGCGGCTGCGGAGCCGGGAAGGCTCCTGGAGGCAACACGCGCTCCGAGGGGCTCCGGTGCCCGGCTGGGCGCACGGGGCCCACAAGCCGGCCCGAGGGGCTGCCTGGCTCCCAAATCCCCCCTAGGCTCCCAGCTGCAGCCCCGCTCCCTGCAGCTTCTCCCAGCGCCGGAGAGGAGAGAGACAGAGGGGAAAGCAAGGCACGGAGACGGAGCTCCCCTGGGAAACGCGGCCCAGATCCGGGCTGGGGCCGGCGGCAGCTCCGGGCGCCGGGCAGGGCCGGCCCCGCTGGCACGCAAGGAGCTATTAGTTTAATGAAGCCGCTTCTCGTGCAGCGCCGGGCTGCGGAGCCGGCTCTGCCCTGCCGAGCGCAGCTCCCTTGGCAGCGGCCGCCCCGGCAGCCGAGCCGGGGGTGTGAAGCCTCCAGGCGCTGCTCAAAACAGACCTTGTGTGGGCAGGAAAAATTACAGGGAGGGAAGGAACCGGCCCCGCGCCGGCGCGCGAAGCCCGGGCGGGCTCCAGCCTGGGAAAAGGGGGTGGCAGGAGCGAGGCTGGGAGCCGGGGGGCTCCGTGCGGCCGCGGCACCGCAGGTCCGAGGGCGGTAGAGGCTGCGGGAGAGAGGAGGGGGCATCACTGTCCTGCAAGGGGGGCGCAGGAGGGGGCTCTGCAGCTGCCCTGGCTGCAGAGCCAGGATTAGGGCGCTGCAGGAGGGGGCTGCGATGTGGGGCAGGGTCGCGTGGGCCTCGCCAGCCTCCGGGCGCCCCGGCTGCGATGGGAGCGAGGGGCTGAGCCCGAGCGGTCGCAGGCAGCAGCTCCGGCCCGGGACAGCGACAAGGACAGGGGCCCAGGCGCGCTCGGAGCAGCGCGAGGGAAGGGACACACGGAGCCGGCGCCTGGAACGGTTTCTCGTGCCCGTGTCAATGCCAGGCTGGTCACAACGTGCGCGCCCGGTGACCAGGAATCCATCCAAACCCAAACCCCTCACGAGGCCCTAAGCGAGTCCTCGAGGGTGGCAGTGGGAGACGGATACGGTGGTTGATACGGGGCAGTCTTAAGGCAGAGGAACAGGTACAGTTAAAACATAAAAGGATTTCTGTTTTTAAAGCAGCGTTTGACATCTGAAAGGAAGCACAGACCGGCACTGGGTGACAAACAATCGGAGCAGGGGTTGACGCTGGGGGGTTGGCGCGCAGGGGGTGAGCGGCCCCGTTGTCCCGTATCCAAATGGGATCGGGGAAGGGGCGTGATGCTGCGGAGCAGTCGGCTGCGGTGCTGTTGATCCCAACGCAGGGAAGGAGGGCGCCCAGGGAGCACCCGGCTCCAGCGCTCCCTGGGGCGGGATGGGAGCCGGCTGCCGACGGGCGCGTCGGGACAGCGCCGGCCCCTTCCCCGCAGCAGGAGCCCAAGCGAAGCAGGCGCCGGGCTGGCTGGGCTGCCGTGGGTGCCCACGGGGCTCCACGCCGCGAGGCGGGAGGAAAGGGCCCTGCTCCGCGGGCCGCGCTCGTCACCGCGGGCACGGGGCTGCCCCGCTCACGGGCTCCCGGCTCCGCGCGGCAGCGCGCGGGCACCTCCAGGGCTCGTTCCAAAAAGGAACCGGGAGCAGCTTCTAAATTAAGCGGCGTCTGCCCAGGCAGCCCGTTCCCCACGGGCTCGGAACACGCGGCTGCCCTTTCTATCCTTCACAGCAGCAGAAAGAAAGTCGCTAATTTCAAAGAGAATCGGAAACGGGAATTAACTGAGGAGATGTCTCCGTGAGGGGGGCGAAGGGGGGGAATGATGGTGGTGGAAGGGGGCTGTTATGTTCCTGCTAGGCAGATAAACAGATCCAAAATACCCAAAAGAAACAAATCAGCTTTACTGAGGGAGCTGCTTCATTTCTTAAATAAAAACAGAGACCATAATCAAGCCTTTGTAGTTTAACATCCTAGAAAGGGGAAAGGGCGGGTGCTTAGTAAAGGGGAGAGGCTGCGAGAACTTGTGGCCAAGGCCCCACTCCGGCGGTCGATTCTTCCACGTGCCCCAGTGAGGGCAGGAGAAAGGAGGGCAGATGAGCAGCAAGAGACACGGTTTTCAGGAGGGCACTGGGAAAACCAGAGCGGGAAGGGGCCGGGCTCCGAGCACGAGACTGCAGCAGATTCCAGGCTGCTGCCTCACCCCGGCGCAGGGAAGGAGCCTTTTCCAAGGAGCTTCCTCCTCGCCGAGGTGCCGAGGCTGGTGCTGGGACTCCCGCGGCCACGGCCCTACGTGTTGCTCCTCTCCTTGGACTTCTCGCTTTTGCCGTCCTGCGGAAAGGGGAGGCAAAGAGGAAGGTGGAGCGAGGCCGCCCCGCGGCGCTGCAGCCAGAGGCTCCGCGCGGCGGCCGCCCTCCCGCCGCCTCCTGGGACCAGGGGCTCCCTTGGGATCTCGCGGCACCGCGCCGGGCGCCCTTTGCTGGGTGCCACGCAGCCCTTGGCAGAGGCTGCGCCGTTCCCAGGCGGGGAGAGAGGTGGCGGAGGCGGCTCCTCCCGGCGCGGGAAAACACGCGGCACCGGCGCGCCCGGGCTTGCCGGGATTCAGCTCCCGCTCGCTACGAAGAGACCGTGAAGGGAAGCCAAGAGGCACGTGGCTCTGCTGCACACACACACAGCGCTCGGCACAGAGCTCTCCTCTCATACAGCCTCCCAATCTGTTGCTGAGCTCTATCCTGCTAACGTCTCGGCTTTTATTCCTCCAGAGGAGTCACTGCCTCCTGGCTTAGGATTGGATTTTTCTCTTATTTTATTTTTTTTTTAAAGGGTTTTGTTCTGTTTTTACCCTGAATGAAAAGAAAAAAGAAAGCGAGAGTCAACTTTGGACTTACTTTTTACGTGGGTTTAGATTTAAAGTATTTAGAAACTCAAATTAACTGGAGCCCTGCTTACCACCTGCAACGAGAAGCTGAGGTTTGGGACATGTCAACGATTAGACAGTTTAGGATTTTCTCGGAACAATAAACTTTTGGGATGGGAAAGGGAGACTGCCGGGTTGCACACACTCACTAAGGGTGTAAGACCCGCAGGGACCCGCGCGGAGCCAGGCGCAGGGCTCGGTACCTCGGGAGGCGGCGGCTTGATGGTCACGGGCTGGGACGTCCGTCGCGGCGGGGAGGGCTTGGGCTGCACCTGCTGCTGGACCGTGTTGTAGTAGGTGACGCCGCCGTACACCTGGGACTGGGCCTGCGTTCCCCGGGGAGCACAAAGGTCAGCGCCGCGCGCGCAGCCGGCTCTGCCCGTCGGCGGCAGCACCGAGCGCCCGCGGCCGCCTCCAGGCCACAGAACGGGTGTCTAAGAGCCCAGAGTTGGTCCCAGAGCACAAAGCTGGTCTCTAAGAGCCCAGAGTTGGTCCCAGGCCACAAAGCTGGTCTCTAAGAGCCCAGAGTTGGTCCCAAAAAGTTGGTCTCTAAGAGCACAGAGTTGGTCCCATAAAGCTGGTCTCTAAGAGCCCAGAGTTGGTCCCAGGCCATAAAATGAGTCTCTAAGGGCACAGAGTTGGCCCCAGGCCACAAAGTTGGTCTCTAAGAGCACAGAGTTGGTCCCACAAAGCTGGTCTCTAGGAGCCCAGAGTTGGTCCCAGGCCATAAAATGGGTCTCTAAGAGCACAGAGTTGGCCCCAGGCCACAAAGCGGGTCTCTAAGAGCACAGAGTTGGTCCCACAAAGCTGGTCTCTASGAGCCCAGAGTTGGTCCCAGGCCATAAAATGGGTCTCTAAGAGCACAGAGTTGGCCCCAGGCCACAAAGCGGGTCTCTAAGAGCACAGAGTTGGTCCCACAAAGCTGGTCTCTASGAGCCCAGAGTTGGTCCCAGGCCATAAAATGGGTCTCTAAGAGCACAGAGTTGGCCCCAGGCCACAAAGCGGGTCTCTAAGAGCACAGAGTTGGTCCCAAAAAGTTGGTCTCTAAGAGCACAGAGCTGGTCCCAGGCCATAAAATGGGTCTCTAAGGGCACAGAGTTGGTCCCTAAAAGGACACCGCTCCCTAGCACCGGGGGTGGGAGCCAGAGCAGGGCTGTTGTGCTTTCTGCCGCGCTCCCCAGCTGAAGAGGAGCAGCCCCTAGCACTGCGCTGGGCTGCGGGCCGCCCCGGAGCACTGCCCCCTCACCGGGAATTCCTTCCCTGCTCCCGGCAGGGCGGGCGGCTTTGGCCGCTCGCGGCTCTTGCGTCCTGCAGCCCCCTCAAGGGTCACACAGAGCCGGGCGCCTCCAAACAACGGCGGCGGCTGCTGCCTTTCCGAGCAAACCAGGCAGGCTGCAACCCTGCCTCGCGCTGCCATCGCTCCGGGGCAGCGGGACCCTCCGGATCGGTCCCAAAACAGCCGGATTTCCGGCGCAGGGCGGCTCCGAGAGCAGGGACGGTGAGCGGCGGTGCGGGCACCGTGCACGTCCCTGCTCTGCCACTGCGTGTCAGCCGTGCGCCGCGCGCCCGCCGGCGCCGCCGCTTCGTCCTCCAGATGCCCGCGGAGCCACTTTGGTGGGCGCAGAGGTGGGAAGTTTAACGGGAAGGAGGGCAGCCCTGGGGGCTGCTCTTCACACAAAGGGTTTTCCAGGGCAGCGGGTCCTGTTTCCAGCTTCCCGCTCTTGCGGACAGAAAGGAAGGGTTTCCCAAACAGCTGTCAAGGTGTCCTTGGCAGCACTAGCCTGCAGGGGACGAAGGCTCCGCTGTTCCCCTTGTTCCGCAGGGGAAGTCTCAATTCTGGGATCCAGCAATACAGACAGGGCCTCCATGAGACCCAATTCCAGGAAAAATGCTAAGCAGACACGGGAGCAGATCCTTGGAATCCCCACAGAAATGCAGACAAATGGCAGCGAGCAGCCCCCCAGTACAAAGGAGTGCAGGTGATCCCATCCCTTCTCCGGAGCTGTTGAGAGACCCCCCCCCAAACACCCCCCCATTGGGGCTCATCCGCCCTTACCTGTGTGTTGGGATAGAGGTGAGGAGGGGGCGGCGGGGGCAGCGCTCCCGGCGGGTAAGGGTAGCCAGGGTTCCCAAAATTCATGACTCCAGGAGGGGAGAAATAAGTCGGCGCCAGTAGCTGCTGCGGAGGCGGCTGACCCGGAGGCATGGAGACGGGAGGAGGGTAGAGCCCGGGGTTGGCCATGGGGGCCGCGGTCTGGTGGGGATGTAAACCTGGGAAGGACAGAAACGAGCTGGACGCGGGGACACGGCAAGGCAGCGAGGCTCAGGGGGGCTGAGGCTGCGGAAAGGCCAACGCGGATCCCGGCCGTGGCAGGAGGCAGAGGCCCTGTGGAGGCAGAAGCCCCTGGCCCCTGTGGCGGGGAGGGAAAAGGGGAAGTTTGGCTCGGCATCGCAGCCTCCTCCGCAGCACCAGGGTGCCGGGCACGGGAAGCGGACACGGCCCCGCTCGGCACATCCACTTCAGGGAACAGCTGGCAACTCAGCAGCTCTCATTTCTGCTTTCCTTTTCTGAGCTACAAGCTGTGACACCCAAAGAACAGAGGTAGCAACACCCAAAGACAGCGGATACGTCCCACCAAAAGGGAAAGCTGGCAGCCAAAAGGGGCCGCGTGGCACCCATACAAGAGGTCGTCAAAACTTCCCAATTATCTGGGGCAAATATATTTGGGGCTACAATGCCCCAAAATGTCCGTCTGTCCTTAAAACTTGTATCTGCTCGGCCTCGCTGCACAAGCGAAGCAGATGACTCATTTTATGGTGCAGGGAAAACTGCCTTCCCTGCCTTGCCCCACGAGCAGGGGCAGCGCCAGGACTGTTGACACCGGAGCCACCTGCTCCCGACGGCCAGCGCGGATGGGCACGGGCTCGGTGTCACCGGTGGCGGCGCGAGGCCCCCGGGCAGCCGCCTCCTTACCTGGATGAGGGAGGTGCATTTCGGGCTGCACGATCATGCCCTGGGGAGGCAGCGGGGCAGGGTTCTCGCCGTGCGCGTAGATTGGTCCCTGGAATTGTACTGCAACACACAAGAGCCGCTCAGGACGAGCCGCCCGGCACGTCACTCGGCCGCGCACACACACACACAGAGGCGAGCGCAGTCGCAGCGCTTGAACGCAGCGCTACAGGCGCAGCAAGAGCAGCGATATCCCCAAGGGCAAGGAGAGGCGAGGGCCGCTGCTCTGCCGCAGCCCAAGAGGGCACGGGAGGAGCAGGGGCTCCAGAGCGGCTCCCGGCGCGCGGGGCGACACTCACGTGGGTCGTAGTAGTGCCCTTCCATGATGCTGATGTGCATGGCGGGGCCGGGCTCCGGCACGGGCGGCCGCTGCCGCTGCGACGAGTAGCGTTTCACGCGGCCCCCCTGCACGGCCTGCAAGGAGCCAGCGCGTGAGCACGGCGCCCCGCTCCGCCGAGGGGGCTCCCCGACGCCTCACCCGCCCGCCAGCCCCTGCAAATCCCCCTGGGATCACGCTGGGAGCGAACACCAGCGGGAAATGCCCAAGCGCCACAGGCAGCTCCTCTCTGCAGCACAGGGCTGGACAAAGAGCGGGCTCGGGCGCTCGCGACGGCCAGCGCCGCCCTCCACGTAACGGGCTTTACCATTTCCTCCATCCTGTTGAACTGCGGCGGCGGCGGCCCGCTCCCCACGTGCACATGGTTGGGAATACCTGAGAGGGAGAAACACGGCGGTTACTGCGGCTCCTCTGCAGAAGGGGCCACCCCGGCTGCCACCAGGGCAGGGCCACCAGCGCCCGCCGGCCGCCGCGTGGGAAGCGGCGACACAGCTCGTTTTCATAATGAAAAGCCTTAAAACAACCTCTTAGGTTACAATTTCAAATATTTCCCTACAAATTAAAAGCTGTTGCATCACTGTACAGTCATCCACGCTGCTCAACACCTTTTAAACCTCCTTGAAATGTATAAATAATCATCTTTGGCCAGAAGTCCAGGTGCTGAACTAAGCTGTGATCCTGCTGAGACAAGGATCTCTTTAGAGCAGGAGCCAAGCATGCAAACGGAACCTTATGAGCTGCAGTTTAAACTCATTACAGAGTGTAACCACTTGCATCGTGGGCTCCTCGCACGCATTTCAATTTAAACAACAAAACTACACTGCACAATTTAAACCACAGTGTCAAACTGACTATGGGCAATTCCAAGAGAGGGAAAGCAGGCAAAATAAATCCTGAAAGTGCCCACAGAGGCCACTTAAACTGCTAACACACACGGGCGTGTAAATCACTGTATTTTTGAGCTCTTGTTCTATCAATGTATTCTAAGTGAGGCTGTGATCAATACTAATGGTCTGTTCACACCAAGATTTTATTGTTCCCACCAGGGCCAGAGACCCTGGGGTTGCGCAGAGCCAGCCCCTCCGAGACACTTACACAAGCAGAGAGCTGCTTCCCTCTCCTTGCTCCAGTTTCATTTCTCTCGGGAAGGCCTCTTAGCTCTCCCCAGAAAAGGCTCTCTAATTCTGGGGAGATAATTATACCGGAACGACCTCTCGTGTGGATTCGCAGCGGCAAGCCGGTTCTCGGCTCACGTGGGTCTAACTCTGCCACAGGTCTCGGCTTCATCCTGCTTCTGTGAACGGAGCTGCTTCCTCCTCCCAGGTGCGAATGGATTTGCCAACCCTGGGCAGGCCTTAGCTAGTAGCAACGCAGCAAAATAAGCTCAGTCTACTGCACAACCTGCTGCTAAGTGGAGGAAAGTTCCTTCCTGCCCTCGAGCGGGACACTAGATAAGGCCAATTAACAGCCGCCCACCTGTGAGCTGATCACAGGGCTCCTTCTCCCCAGGACCGGCTCCTGCCGCAGCAGCAAGTCCCACCGTGAGTCACACGCCACCCACAGCTCCTGTTGTCCTGCTTGCTTTTGGTTCAGCTTTATCACCTCCAATTACCCGCGCTGAACTTTCTCAGCTACCACAAGTCGCTGGCACGGAGCTAAGCTGAGCCTGGACTTCGGCAAAGACACCTCTGCACTGCGTGACTGCCGGTGCTTTACGACAACAGCGGGACCGTGTCCTACCAGGAATGAGACGGGGGCGAAATTCAGTAGGAAACCAGGGGGCCAACGGCACTTACCCCTCAGCTCCCGGGATTGCATGAACTGCGACTGCCCCGGGCTCCAGCTCTGCTCGGTGAGACTCATTTGTGTCATCTCTTGCTCCAGTCCATCCAAGCTGGATTCTACGGGCGACTCCCAGTTGCTGCTCTTGGCTGGTGGGGGGGATGCCTCCACTTGGACTGGTTTTGGCGGCGCAGGCGCCAGCCCTTCCGAAGCAGGAATCTCCTCCGCCAGCTTTCCCGCATCCCCAGCTTTAATCCTGGTCCTCCTCGCCCGGGAATAAGACTTCTTCTCAACCGGCCTGTCCGGCGGCGGCTGCGCCGCGTCAGCGCCCGCGCCCTGGCTTTCCAAAGCAACCTCGTCCCTGCCCGGGCCGCCGTGCGCGGGGGCCGCCTCCGTCTCGGGGGACTCGTCTCGCGCGGCGCTTTGCTCCCCGCGCTTGCCCCGGTAGCCGCTCTCCTGCTTGGCCTGCTCCCCGCTGCGAGAGAGGTGCGGGCCGCTGCTTTCGGGGGCCCGGTAGCCCGGGCGGCTCTCCTTGTAGGCGCCCGGGCGGCTCCTGCCCGGGGGCGCTCTGCCCGCGCCGCCGGGGCTCCTGCTGCCGAAGGCGCGCGGCGCCGCGCACGCGCTCTCCGGCGCCGCTCTGCCCGCTTTATTCGGCCTCTCGTTGGGCCAGCTTGGGTCTCGCTGAGGAGGACTCCCGAACCTGCGGGAGAAAAAAACGCTACAGCGGCCAGGAAACAAACCGCAAGGTGAAAAACAAAGCTGTTGCTGAGAGTCGCTTCTATTGTCTGGGCTGCCTTCTGGATTAAAATTAATTTCCAGAAGGTTCCTCGTTGCCCTCGAGCGCCCTGCAGCCAGTGCCAACGGCCACAGAGCTGCGGCCTGAAGCGCCCGGCGCGCGGGCCGGAGCCTCGCCGGGCTCCAGCGCGCCTGCCGCTCACCTGGGCTTGCGCATCCTCCGCGGCTTGATGTCGTCGGGGTTGTGGGCCGACCTGATGTCGTAGCCGTAGAGGGCGATGAGCTCCTGCCTGGTCTTGGGGGCCTGCTCGTCCTCCCGGAATTTGTCGTGCTCCCAGCGGCCCTCGTCTTTCCACAGCTTCCGCTGCCGCCCTTTCGGCCTGGAACGGTCGCGCAGAGCGAGGCAGGAGGTCAGCACAAAGCCAAGGAGACGCGGCAGCTTCAGCACCAGCGAGCACCGAGCGAGATTCCCTAGGGCAGCGTCCGCAGGACACGGCACCTCTTCTTCCCCCCGTTCCTCCTGTCCCAGCAGCTGCTGCTCTGCCCACCCCAATTCTCTGAGGTGGTAAATGTCGCTAGGCAGGGGCAAGGTGGTTTTTGTACCACCCTGAGTCCCTGCTTTCCCAAAGCAAAGAGCAGGAGCCGGTTGTGGCAAAGGGGCCAGGACACAGAGAGACCCTTCCCTGCTTTCCATGCACACACAAAGAGCTGGGCTGCTCCACAGGGAGCCAGCGGTCGGTCCCACAGGGACAGGGGGACATCCTCACATACCTGACCTCCTCCTCCTGAGTCTGCCCTCGGAGGTCGTGCTCAAAGAAGAGCCCCTTGCGGGGGATGTAGGCCGGGTTCTTCCGATCCTCATCGTCATCCAGGTGCTTGGGAACTTTTTTCCCCACTTTATTCTCAACGGGTTCAGTGCTCTCCTGTCAAAATCAGACAGCTCTTAACACTGCAGTAATCCCCCCACACCAAGCCTGTCGTGGCACAGAGAACACACGTGGTCAGCACCTACCTGCCCGTCCCCGCTCTGCCTCTCGCCGGTCACAGCGCCTTTGGAGTCATGTTTCTCATCCCCTTTCTCTGCTTTTGCTGCAGATTCGCAGGAATCGTTGCTATCCTGCTTCAATTCCACCTTGGCGCTTTCTTCCTCGCTGTAATCCTCTTCCTCTGCCTGAAAGAGCCTCAGTTACTCAGACATGGACTCAGGTCCCCCAGGAAATTCCCAAAGAGGTCCCCAGCTCTGGAGTCAGATCCCCGTTCCGCTTGCTAGAGAACCAACTCCTTTATAGCAGGGGATTAGCCCTTAATGTCCTTCCTATCCCCGTGTTTTTTATGTAAAAAAGTGAAGATTAATGAACATTTCTCCCTACCAATTCTCAGTGATATTAAATCAAACACCTGTGATTTCCATGGAGTGGGAACTGAGTCTCTAATCTGGCTGAAATGAAAGGGTTTGCAGAGACAAACGACCGAGGGTGACGGTTTCCACCAGCAGCCCTTTGGAAGCTCCCTCCTTCCCCACCGAAGGCCTGGCTCCGGCGCCGGCTGCGCTTCCTGCTTCCCTGCAGTTCCCGGGTGAGTCACGGGGCGCTCGCAGGCGCCTGACCTCGTTTCCCCTCCGGGAGCCCGCCGGCCACGCTCGGAGCCGCCACTAAAAATAGCGGCCGCGCTCGGGAGCGCCGCGCTCCCTTTTCCCCCCTTGCACTCCCGTTTCCTCCCTCGGCGCGGGCACTGGCACCTCAGCTGCTCCTTTTGTTTCGGGCAGGGAAGCCCGGGCAGGGCATTATTTTTAGGCGCAGGACCCGCGGCGCTGCAGCCCTCCCGATGCGCTCCACGGTTTGCTCAGGCTCGTGGAAACACAACCAGCCTCTCCCTGCCCCTTCCGCAGCTTTCTTAGGCGTGGGAAACCCTATTCCCGGTGCACCCCATCTCGCCGGAGTCGGGGATTCTTTTCCCTGGCAATCCGGTCCCGAAGCCTCCCCGCCAGCAGCACAGGGAGCTGCCAGCTTGGGATGGACCGAACCCTGCGCCCGGGAGAGCTCTCCGGCAAGAGGGAGGAGGCTGGGAAAGGCTTTTCCTGCCGCCCTCGAGGATTCCCGCAGCGGAGGCTGCCAAGCGCACAAGCTGCTACCTCGAGACCAAAGCAACCGCTACGGACGGGGTCAGCGGAAGAAAACGAGGGCACAAAGTGGGTTTTGGGCTAAAATTAGGCAAGACACGGCCGCCTCACGGAACATCAGCCCAGCAGCTCCTCTTACCTCCGAGTCCTCGGCGCTTTCGTAATCGGAGAGCACGGCTGCGGGGAGAGAGGGGAGGTTGGCAGAGGCAGGAGCAGAGCGGCGCTTCCCTTGGGAATGGAATGGAGCTGCGCTCCGGCCGCCGCTGCCCAATGCCACCGGGAAGTCAGGGTGCCCTATTGAGCGTCCCCCCGGATTCCCGGGGAGGAAGAGGTGCATGTGGGGAGCCCTGTCCCTGCGCTCCGTGTTTGCCTACGCTAGGAGGTAACACTTGGGATAACGAGGGCAAAACTGGGGAGAAAGGCGGTTTTCCCACTTTTGTGCAGCCCCCGGGGGTGCCAGCGAGCAGTGCTACTCACCGTCTCCTTCGATGCCATCCTCGCTCTCCTAGGGAGCGAAAAGAGAGAAAACTCATTAGCGCAGAGGGAAGAACTCATTAGCGCAGAGGATTCCCGTGGCACCCCACGTGTGGCAGTCACAGCGATGCTCGGCCCTGCTCCTGCCACATCCACCTTGGAAGCTCAGTTTCAGTTCCCAAGGAGGAGGAAACAAATCCCCAACTGGCCACGTTTTCCTTTAGGGTCTTTCAGTCCCCGCTGCAGAGGCAGCTGTGGAGGGAAGTCGAGGGAACGGCCGCCAACGGAAAGAGCGCGAACAGCGTTAGCTGCTGGGGGGACAGCAGCGCTGCCGGACACAAACTGCATTCCCTGGATAACGCGGCTCCCTCGGGAAGCACGAGGGATCGCTCGGGGCAGGAGCCGGGGCCGGGCCCACGGGAAACCTCAGGGAAACCTCACGGAAGCTCAGCCGCGTGTGGCGGCGCCGGCACCGCGGCTGCCCCACTTGGCCCCACGAGGAGCTCCGATGTCCCCGTTTAGTGACTTGGGGACACCATTGGGGGGGCCCAATGGGACAGGAGGGTCCAGCAGCCCTCGGGCCCCCCTGGGGAGGCCAACGCCCCCACCCCACACAGGAGACCCCTTGGGAAGGGGAATGGGGAGGGGAGGCTCCCGGGTAGTGCTCGGGGGGCTGTGGAGCCCCCTGCCCCACAAACCACCCCCTTCCTTATACAAGGTGGGGGGGGGGGGTCATACAGCCCCCCTGCCCCACAAACCACCCCATTCCTTGCAATGGGGGGGTCATGAAGGGCCCCAGCCCCATTAACCCCCCCTTCCTTATACAATGCTGGGGGGGGTCATGGAGCCCCCTGCCCCATAAACCACCCCCTTCCCTGCAATGG